AATATATAGCTGTTTTTTAAAAAGCCAGGGAATGAGCAGGTAAGTGGGAAGAAAGCAGAAAAAAAAGAGGTATTACCAAAGATACTTCTCCGGTTGTAAAATTGTAGCAAGTTTTAAGATTACAAATGTTTTTTTCATTTGCTGAGCATATTTTATTTATGAAACTGTTAGATCTGGGGTTTATAAATTACTTTGAGTTTCATGCCAAGAGAACTTCCCACCATAAACTGACATTCCCAGCTGTTGAAAGAAGGGCTCAGGCAAATTGAAGAAAAAGAAATGAAGCCAGGAAAAAGGAGGCCAGGCTCTAACTATGGCAAAGGGAAGGGCCTGTCTACAGGGATCTGTGGTGACTGTCACCCTCACAGCATATGCCAAGTGCACTGTCACTCACAGCTCTACCTGGCTGCCAGGGAAGCAACTGGTGTGAAGCAACAGCACAGACTTGAGTCCAGCAGAGGGTCGTCTTTTCACATCTGCTCTTCCATTCACAAAAAAACAGTCCCACAGGAAGGCCTTTTCTGCTGAGATGAGCTTCAATTTCCCCAAGTATCATGATCCTCCCTGCCTAGAACATGCTGAATATGTGAAGAAACCTTCTGCTAAAGTTGCCGTAAACTTGAGAGAAGCATGAAAACATAAGAGAAGAAACACTAAGAGCGTATAGTTAGCAATATATTCACTTTCCCTATTTCCAAAGAGGATAAGACTAGCAAAAGAGAATTCATTTAGGGGCACCTGGGTGGTTCAGTCAATTGAGTGGTCAACTCTTGATTTCCACTAAGGTCATGATCTAACAGATGGTGGGATCAAACCTCGTGCTGGGCTCCATGCTCAGCTTGAAGTCGGCCTGGCCCTTTCCCTCTTCCCTTTCCCCACTTTTTCTTCCTCTCAAACAAATAAATAAATAAAAGATAATTCATTTGTAACTTTTAAAATGTCATTAGGCAGCATATATATGTAAAGCTCAATACTAGTTTTTAGGGAAAATACATGAATATATCCAACGAAGTTTCTGCCTGGAGAATAAAATGTTAGAGTCAAAAGACCTAGATCCCAATCCCAAATTAGCCTCTGATTCAAAATTTATGCCCTCATGATGTGTTTCCATTTATCTACCTAAAAAAGTGCTTAGTGCTTAGATAGTAGAATAAAAAATATAATGACTAATTGTCAACATTCATCTGTTTCTTATTTCTAGAAGATTCCTTTGAGGCAAGAATGAGAAAAAGCACAAGCCTTAGAATCAGAAAGTCTTAGGTCCAAATTCTACTTCTGAGACTATATTATCTGCATGACTAATGTAGAGTCTCCATTTTCTCATCTGTAAAATGGAGAGAATACTTCATAGTACAGTTATGTGTATATGACTAGCTACCTACCCATCAATAGGTAATTAGGCACAGGGTATTCACTCAGTAGATGGTAGTTGCTATCAATCACTGGCAAGCTGAGGCCAGGCAGTTAACACGAATGCTCTGAAGTGAAGAACAAAGAAAACATTTAATAAGGCCAGGTCTAGAACCAATTATGGATGAAACCTCAGAGCCTACATGACTAATGGTGGTTGAGTATGACGGGCCAATCTGCCTGGTCTCATATCACAAATCACTATACTCCCCATTCCACTCAGTTCCCTGCCTCAGAGCCCTAGCTTGCCTAAAGCTCTATATCTGCACACTAATCTGCTTTCTGGACATGTTGGAATGAGCCTTACTAGAAACACACAAGTTATGTGTGAAGAAAACATCAAAATACCAGTGAGGGAGGAGGGCATGGAAATCTGAATGCGTGAGGTTACTGAACATGGCGCCTTACTGTGTGGTTGGATAGAAAACCTCACCATACAAGACATCACCTCTTGGGTACCTGGGTGGGTTGGTCAGCTAAGCATCTGTCTTCTGTTCAGGTCATGATCCCAGGGACCCGGGATCAAGCCCTACATCAGGATCCCTGCTCAGTGGGGAGTCTGCTTCTTCCTCTGCCTCCGTCCCTCCTCCCTACTCATGCTCTCTCTCAAATAAATAAATAAAATCTTAGAAAAAACAAAAAACAAAAAAAAAACCCTCCAAGAAACCAAGACGTCACCTCTCCCTAGGATAACCGACACATTTAATGTGATTCAAAGAAAAAGGCTGACTGGATTTTTATTTATTTTTTACAAAACGACATAATTCTCAATTTTATATGTAGTAATGAACAGGCAGGCAGGAAGAGTCAGGAAAACTCTACAAAACAGTAATAAGGTAAGAAGTGGGACTAGACCTATTAAATATGAAAATATATGATTATGCCACACTGTGCTACTGAAGCTTCAATGGAAAGACCAATGGATCCGGAAATAGACCAAACACACAAAGGATTATACAGCATGACAACAGTGGCACTTCAGCAGGAGACAGATTAGACACCTGTTGATAGATGACCAAGTAATCCTATGTCACATCTCATAAACAACACAGACACACACACACAGTCAATTCTACACTGATCAAAGATTCAAATGTGAAAAATTAAAAATAAAAATTATTTTTATAAACTCAGAGTAGGAATGGATGGATGCTTAACTGACTGAGCCACTCAGGCACCCCTAAGTAAATTCTCTTTTGCTAGTCTTACCTCTTTGGAAATAGGGGCAGTGAATATATTGCTAACCATATGGTCTTTTATAAACTTGATAATACACAAAGAAGTCACTTAATAAGTAAAACAGAATAAATCTATGCCTAGAAATAAATGTTCACCTATAAGATCAGCACACATAATAAAAAGTACGCATCAGTGGAGAAAGTACAAAGAGGCTAGTACGCATATTTGCAAGGGTGAGTACATCTCCATGGCCCTATGGGGGACACTGTGGCAACACCTGAAAAAATTACTAATACACAGTCTTCAAACCATAGAATCTACTCCAGGGTCCCTTTTAATTACACAGATGTACTAGCATAAGTATGACATTCTATATATACAAGAACAGTCTATGTACTTTGTTTCTAATAAAGAAAAACTAACAAACACCTAAATGTCTACCAATAAAGAAGTGGTAAAGTCATTAGGTTATATCCACATGATTAAAATACTGTATACAGCTATTAAGTAAGAATGAGGGGCCCTTCTTTGTACTGATTTGTAAAGATCTGTAAAATAATTGTTAAATTTACAAAGCAAGGCACACCCCAATATGTAAGGTGTCTCATCTGTATAAAATCCAGAAATATATATATCATTGCTACCTTATGCATAAATTCTCTGAAAGGATGTAAAAGACACGGTTATAATGGGGTGTCTCTGGAGAAAATCTGGATGGGGATTGATGGAGGGAGGCAGATTTACATTTAAGTGCATATCCCTTCATACCATGGGAATGAACTGATTCAAAATTACTTTAAAAAATTATGAAGAAAAGAACAGATTTCCTTAGGGGAGAGGTGTGATAGACTTATACAAGAAACAACACATTTTTTCCTGAAATCCACCATTCTCTCCTCAGCCACTCTGCAAGGCTGCCCCTAACATGTAGTCTCTCAGCTTGGCCCAACCAAGGAAGGGCCATAAAAGTTCTGAAACTTCTGCTTTGCTCACTCAAGAATCAAAACAAATCCTCTTGCTACATTTCTTTGGAAATACTGAGCAAAAAGAAATGGCTAGCGTTCAGAAAATTTATTATGTTACCCTTGGTATCACTGTTGAAACTGAAGAACCAGTCTAAAAACTAAAACTAAAGAACTGGATAGAACACTGGAAATCCTAATGAAGGCTGGAAAGCCCTCTAACATATGACTTCATTTTCTGCCTTGGCAATAGGGTAGCTAATAGAAGATAAAAACAGAAAAGATGAGAATATCTTACACAGATAACGACCTTTAGTATTCTCTACTTACACAGCACGTATTCTTTACTGGGTACAAATTCATGCAAAGCACAAACTTTCCCCAAAACGACAAGTCTGTATCATGCAACACATCATCCCTTGACGAAGTCTGTCCAAAACCCTAAGGCCAACCAGTGTTTGTTTGTTTGTTTGTTTTTTTTTAATTCTGGAGTTAGTAGCTGCATCATGCAAGGTGAGAAACAGCATCATCTGAAGCTGAAAAACCTCAAAGGCTAGGAAACATTTTTTGAAGGTTAAGCTGAGGGAAGCCATGATTAGATATATACTTTTTAGGAAAAAAAGAAAGAAAACATTTCTAAATCTCGAAGGAGTCATCTTTCTCAATCTCATTCCAATTATTTGACTGAGGAGATCCAAAAGGGCAAAAATATGGCAAGTTTTATAAACTTGTCCGAGGATGCAGCCTGTCTCATGGCCAAAGACTATGCCCCAAACTCTGCCTGACATGCAACTGTGGCCAATGGCTGTGAAAAACAAACTGGTAAATATGGCTGCATCACTGAGAGATCATTTCCCACTTTTAGAAATGCAAAGTCTGTGCCTAGCAATGTTGGTTGGAAGTTAGTTACCGTGTCCTCTTTGGGGAAGACCATTTTCACTGACTAAGAGCAATTTGGATATTCAGTACCACCAGCACAAGCTACAAATATATACAGACAAGAAAATAAATCCCACGCATACAGCTGGACCTGAAATGTTTTCTTTCCTCCTGTGAACCCTTATAGAAAATAATGATTAAATCTGGCTGTAAGCTTTACACACAGGAGCCACATATACGTATGGTGTTTTCTTTTTAAATTTAAGAATAGTGGATGGTTATAGGACTTCCGCTAAACAATTTATTGTTTGAAATTCAACTTCCCCTCAAACTCAAGGTTCAGTGCTGGGTAAAAAGGCATGCAACCAAGTCACCAGCCTCTCAAGCTGGACACAGGGCATGCCTTGCCTGCCAAAAACACATAATTAGCAGTTACACATTTTCATGCCAACAAACCAAGGATTAACAAGGATGATTAGAGTCTGGATGGAACCAAAGCACAAGCTCTTTGCCTTTTGGATGCTGACTCAAAAGCCACAAGCACACACATTTCCCATGAAAGTGTCATACCGCTGGTCTTCAGTTGCTTGGATCTCTCTCGTTCCTGGACTGTAGACTTTGGCAGAAGTGGAGTAAGGCCTCGAGACTTGGTTGGTCTCATGTAGCCCTTCATGGGTTCTGCCATTCTGCTTTTATCTTCCTTCTTCCCTTCTGGTGCCTTTGGCTCAGACTTTTCAGTCACTTTGTCAGGTGCCTCCGAGATCTTATCTTTGGGTTTTAGGAGTTCAGGATGCTTGGAAGTAGTCACTACTAATAAGTTCTCTACCACCTGCAATGGAGTAGCTGCAGCTCTGCCATCTAAGAAATCTGACTGGAATTCTGGTGTTGCCATGGAAGTTTGTTCTGAATCAGTGATTTTAGAAGCCGGGCTAACTTCTTCCACTTTATTTTTTTCACTTTTTGGAGGCAACAGGGCCCTATCTACTTCCTTATTCAAACTGTCTGGGTCCTTGGATTCTCGACTGTCAGCATTTTGGTCCTCACAGAAATTGGGCTTTTGTGCTTTGTCTCCTAGTAAGTCAGGAATCTGAATGGGGGCAGAACCTTCCTCAGACTCTTTCTTTTTGTTAACTGGGTGTGTTGGAAAACTGTTCCCATCTGCACATGTTTCCAAGACTCTGACCTCACCTGGTAGGCTTTGGTCTTCTACTGACACTCCAGAAAGGTGTCCCTTTGCGAGCTCTGGGATTTTCTCTATCAAATGCTTCGATGCACCACTGGGTACTGACTCAGATCCTCCTAGCACATGTCCTCCATCCATTCCTGCTTCATTTTTTATGGGATCAGCAAACTCACCTTTATTCTTAAAACAGTTCCCTCCTTGGCAGTTAACTGTTTCTATGGCTGCTGTAAAAGTGAGGGCAACTCCTCCTCCTGTGCTTGCAGAAAGTGCAACAGCAGAGGGGGACTTGGGTCTTTCTTGATCTGGGACTCCACTTTTGCTGCAATTATCTACTGCTAATAATTTGGGTATCTGGGCCGGAGTGGTCTCTTGCTCACTTTCTGCCAAGATATTTGGAAAAGAATCACCCTCTTTTACTGTTTGAGAAGCAGGAGTGGGCAGTCCTTCACAGGCTGCTGACTCCAGAGCCTCTGGAGGGGCTGACTTATTCATCAGCCCTGGGAGTGTTCTGGGGCAGGTAAATGTGATATTTCTATTTTCGTCCACATAGCCCATTCCTTCAGTTCTGTGGTCCCCTGTGGTTTCCATGGGAACATGTATTTTTGATGCATCTATCGTATTCTCCAGAAGATGCTTCTCGGGGAAACTATTTTTAACCTTTTTGCTTTTTCCATCATTGCTCCTTTTATTTGGTTTGTCAGCCACTGCAGCATGTCCCTTGGTTGCATCTGTCTTGTTCTCTGCAGACAGAGCTGAAGGAACAAATCCTGCCCCCTGGGTTTGGCTTTGGCAGCTCACATCTCTCACCTTGGTATCGGGTTCAAAAACAGCAGAGTCCTTCACTATGTTTGTCTTGTTCCCACCAAGAGCCCCAAACTCAAAAGAATTAACCTCATCATTCCTCCCCTTTTGGTCACCTACTTCCACTGTGGGAATAGCTGATGTATGTGAGGACAAAAGATCATGATTTAAGGGGAAAATGCAGCCTAAGTCCTTGTTTTGATGAGGAGTACTACCAGCATCTCTATCCTTCCCTACAAAAGGTGGGTTGGGGGTTTCCTCCTTGCACTCCATTCTAGCAAGCTGGGTGAAAGAATTGTTTTTGAACTTTTTGGTTTTGCCCTCATTACTCCTTTTTTTAGGCTTTTCAGAAATCCAGGGAGCTGCCTCACCACTCACCCAAGGACACTTTCCTTCCTTGTCCTGGTTACTAACACCCATATTTCTTTCTGTCCTAGTGCTGGAAGTCGTGCCTGACCCACTTCCCAAAGGAATCAACATGTGGGAGGTGCTGGCCCCCCACACGTCAGCTATCTCTGTAGGCTCTCCCATCACCACTGCCTCAGTGAGACTCACTATGGTCCCTGACTGCTTTGAAGAAACCAGTTCCTCACTCTTCTCCCCAGAAGTCACTCTTTCAGTTTTAGGGGCTGGCTCACTTGCTGCAAGAACAGCTGGGCCATCCTTCCAGCTGTCCAGAAGAAATGGTGGCTCAGATCTTGCTCTTCCCTTCCCAGAACTGGCTCTCACTTTCCCAGAACCTGCCCTTCCCTTCCTGCTTCTGCCATCCCCTGCCATTCTCTGAATAGGCTCTCTCTCTGGCCCAAGCATCTGAACTGCCACCTCATCCTGCAGCTGCCTAGAAGCCAAGGTGCCCATCTCTTGGCTTAGCTTGGGAAAAGCTTCCTTTGTTAGTTCTTTAATCTCTTTAGCTCCTTCAGAAAACCCTGTCTGTCTGTCCTTTTGCAACGTAGTCACTTTACCTTCATCATCCCCTTCTTTTAGACTACTTCCTAATGAGGAAGTTGCTGGCCAAGTGGGTGCCAGGTGAGGCAGTTCTTCTGCCACTGTGGGTTTTGAACACCCCCTCACAGCTTCTTGGTCTGAGAGAGGAGAGCAACCCTCTTTGGGTGTGATCTCCAAAGGAATTTCTACTTTGTGTGCAGAAACTTGTGTTGGGGGTCCTTTCCGATCAGGTGAGCCTACTGTTTGGCTTTCATCCACGGGGGTTTTCAGGTGGGGTGCGGGCCCTGGTTGGCCTTCACCTGGCTGCAGCCATTTCTGGCCCCGGCCCAGGGGTACTGACTGGCTACCACTGACCTCTGCTTTTACTCCTGGCTCGGGCTGAGACCTTCCTGCAGTTTTCAGGGGTTCTTCCAAAGGACACAAAGGAATGCTGACACTTTCTGAGACAAAGTTCTCAGCTACCAGCTTCATGGCTCTGGACTCCACTTCACATTCCTTTTTGAAGTTTCCTCTGGATGCCAGTCCATATTCCATGCCCATAGCAGTAGGCAGGCTGGGAGGAACACCTGACTTCTGTGGATCTACTGCAAAGGGATGACCTTTACGGTCATCTGCACTGTCGTCATCCCAAGGTCCCCCAGCCCGGACTTGAGGATATCTCTTTTGCTTTGGTTTCTTCTTTTTTTTCTTCATCATCATTGGTGCACTATCTATATCCCAGGCCTCCCTGCCAAGATCTCGCTTGGGTTCAAAGAAGTCAACATGAATAGTTTTCCTTTGGCTCCCCAGCTCACCACAGGAAGACGAACCAGAGACCCATCCCAACTCAGACAAAGAGCAGGTGCCCAGCCCGGGATCAAGAGTCTTCCGTGGAGAAGAGACTCCCAGCAGCTCAGAAGGGACCCTGGCAGGCCTGGGCCGAGTGGACCTGCGGTCACTGGGTCTGCACACTTGTTTGTCTTGTGTGGGAGGGGTACCTGTAATACATGAAGTTGGCCAAAATTCCAAACAAAAAACTTCTTGTTATTGTTTAAAAAAAAAAAGAAAAAAGGTCCATTTAACTGACTTAACTGACTCAGTTAAGTCTATTTCACCAACCCACATACTAATTCATTTAGGAAAATAGTTTTTTCTAAAATATTTCTTACTCTTAACTGGGATTAGCAAATATTTAACAAAGATCATCATCTCAGGTAAAGAAAAAAAATTCAAACCGAGATCTTCCAACCTTCTATAATAAGTAAGTAGTGCCTGTAAATCTCATCAGCTACTTACTTATATTTATCATTATTTTTAATTGGTACATAATCCTCAGTTCTGCAACAAGATGGTAAGCTCCTGCCTCTTTTTGCTGACATGTGTTAATCAACTGAATGAAATACATATGATTTTGTGCAGAATTTATAATTCTAAGAGTCTGTCACCAATATTATACTTGTCAAGCTAACCAGATCAACTCTGGGAAACAGACCAGGAGGCCAGACTTATGCTACTGGGGGGGAGAAAGAGGAAGAAGAAAAAAAGAGACTGAATTAGTTATTTTGGCTAAAGAAAAATCTTCATCATTCCAGAACCAAAGCCTCCTACTTTGAAAGACAAATGTGTTAGATTTCAATGTTCTGTTCCTAAATGTACTTCCCGAAAGATAGAAAAATATACATAACGCCCAGAAGGGTAATGAATTAGAACAGTTAGGATAAGTATCCTTGGAAAAGTTTCAAGAAATCAAGTTGTCCAACCTCTTATCTCCAAGTCAATGCAGCATGGATTCAAGATTCTGGGAAGAGACTCACTAAGAGCAGGTTGGGATAGCTCTTGTCAAGCCTGATCCAATGAAATGACTTCAGAGAACATTAAAACACTTAAATAGTACTTTCTGTTCTTGTTTTTACCCTCTAATGTCCTACAAATCCAATACTTTATTTAACATCTCAGGTCAATTACTGCTTCTTTCAAGAAAGTGCTAGGTTTTAGTACCCCACAACATTTATAACATTTAATTTGGCAACCAACCAGCTATTTGATGCTATCTCTTAATACTATTTTATTGAATTATTATATGAATCTTTGGCTACAAAGTTCATGCCTGGCAACTTTCCTCACCATCCAGGCTATGATGTAACAACGCAAGGGCAAGGACCCAGAGTTAAATATCTATATCCCTTAGCATGGTATATTTTGTATACAATAAGGAATTGATAAATCTTTATTGATATGCTGAGTCACTAAGAAAACATTAAAAAAATCACTTTATTTAGCTCCTACTTGGGGCTAGACAGTATGTAAGCACTTTAGCATCTCAGTGAAATAAGTCACGGTCCCTGCCCTCGAGTTTACATTCTAATCAGTCACAGAAAAGTAAGCAGAGGGATCCCTGGGTGGCGCAGTGGTTTAGCGCCTGCCTTTGGCCCAGGGCGTGATCCTGGAGATCCAGGATCGAGTCCCACGTCAGGCTCCCGGTGCATGGAGCCTGCTTCTCCCTCTGCCTATGTCTCTGCCTCTCTTCCCCTCTCTCTCTCTGTGACTATCATAAATAAATAAAAATTAAAAAAAAAATTAAAAAAAAAAGTAAGCAGAGAATCATTAAGTTGATAATCATACATACATGCTTTGACTTATATCTAAGACATGCAATCTTAAAGTTCATTGAATGTTCGAACTCCAAGTTAGAAAGTACCTTGGAGCAGTGCCTCTCAAAGTTTAGTGTGTATAAGAATTGTCTGGAGAACTTATTAAAATGCTTATGAAGGTCTGAGGTGGAATCGAGGACAATGCATTTGTAACAGGCTCCCTAGCAATGCAGATGCTGTTGGGTCATAAAACACACTGTATCTAACACGGGCTTATTAGCAAAGGTTTACAGAACATTTGACCAACATATTCCTCATACAGCTGAATAAATGGAGATACAGGGAAGTTAAATAACTTACTCAAGACCACACAGCATATAATATTGAACAGTTGAACTGGGCTAAAATTTAGATGTCTTGGGACACCTGGTGAGTCAGTGGTTGAGTGTCCTGGGATCGAGTCCCACATCAGGCTCCCTGCAGGGACTCTGCTTCTCCCTCTGCCTATGTCTCTGCCTCTCTCTCTGTCTCTCATGAATAAATAAATTAAAAATCTTAAAAAAAAAATTTAGATGTCTTGAGTTGATGTAGTGATAATTTAAAAATATGTAAAAACAAAAACAAAAACAAAAAACTATGTAACCAGCTGACCTTATGCCCAGACAAGACAAAAATCTATCTAAGAAAGAGAATGGACTTCATAAACAATACTGCTAATTACCATCACAAAAAACTAAGAACAGCATCCACCACCACCAACCCATTGCTCCCAGTTGAAGCAGTTTCAAAGATTCCACTTGGTATCCCTAACTTACCCGAGATCTCTGAAGAAAGTTCAGGAGGTTGGCTACTGAATGGTTTCTTTTGCTTTTGTTTCTCTAACACAGAATCGTCATCTGTTGGCAAGTTGTACTTCTGGCCCATGGCTGGGACTGGTTCTAAGCGTAACAGTAAATACCACAGATTTTAGAGCAGCACTACTTAAGCTCTTTCTCCACCTTTCAGAAACTGGAAGCAGGAATAGTTTTGGAGGGACTGAGGGAGGGATGCTCCTCTGAGGGCAGCAGAGAGATAGCTAGAGTGGTAGATAGAAGGTGAAATTGGGAAACTTTTTGTTTTAAATGGGAAAAATATCAAATATTTGGATGTTGGTGGGAATGATTCAATGGATGGGGGCAAAAACTGGTGAGAGGCAGGAAAGGAAGGAATACTTAAGGGCATACTTAAGCAGGCAAGAGGATGTGGGATCTAATGCAAAATAGAAAACAGCCTTATTAATGAGGCGCAGAGATGGCTTCCTTCCAGTAACAGGAGTGAGGCAGAGACTTGGAATCTAGTATATAAGCAGGTAGGGAGAGGAGATAGCAAAAGTCTCTTTTACTGAACATTTTCTTTTGTTGCTTAAATTATCAACAAGGAAAACAAATTAGCAGAGAAAGGAGGAGGGTGCTGGGAATGGGAAGAGGATGAAGGTGAGAAAGACAGTCTAGGAGAGCAGGAATGTGTATAAACTCACAAAATACAGTGTAACGGTCTTTATATTCTCTAGTACATTTGTCCCTTATCCTTCTGGAGACTACCCCATGGGAGACAGAAATACTGAGTAAACATAAACCCGTACCTGGAGAAATGATAAAAGTAGATGCAGCTGACTGCCCCTCATCCTTGGGAGATTTTAACTGGCACGCCTTGCTTATTTCTTCCTGTGTCCATGGAGTGTCCATGTCCTTAGCTGGAACTGGTGCCACCTCTGTTTCTGAGAGTGGTGCAACATCCTTGGCGGGATTCACATTGTTGGCCAGGATCACCTCTGTCCCAGGGGGCAGAGCCACATCCTTAGTCAGGGCTACCTCTGTTTCTGGAGGCTGAGGCACATCCTTGGTCAGGGTCACTTCCGTTTCTGGTGGCACAGCCACATTCTTGTCCAGGGCTACCTCTGTTTCTGGAGGTGAAACCATGTCCTTGCCCAGGGCCAACTCTGTTTCTTGGGATGGAGCCACTTCCTTGCCCAGGACCATCTCTGATTCTGGGGATGGAGCCACGTCCTTCACTGGGGTCTTTTCTATATCTGGATATAGAGCAATGTCCTTGACTGCGGCCACCTTTGTTTCTGGGGGCAGTGGCACAACCTCAGTCAAGATCACCTTGGTTTCGGGAGGCAGTGTCATGTCCCCAGTTGGGGCCACCTCTGTTTCTGGGGACAAAGCCACTTCCTTGGCTGAAGGTATTTCTGTGGATGATATAACATCTTTAGCCAATGCCACTTCTATTTCTGAGAGTGATACCACACCCTTGGCTGGGGCCATCTCTCTGTCTGTGCATGGTACCGTGCCCTCATCTGGGGACAAATCCATTTTTATAGGTGGTGCTCTCTCTGTTTCTTTGAATGATAATATATCCTTGGCTAGGGCCACCTCTGTTTCTGGGGGTAGTACCACATCCTTGGCTAATGATACATCTTCTTCTGTGGACAATACGACATCCTTAACTGGAGCTTCTTCTGTTTCTCTGGGCAGTACCATGTCCTTGACTAAGGGCATATCTGACTCCATAGATGATTCTATGTCCTTAGCCTGTGTCACATCTGATTTGGGAGATACTTCCATGTCTTTAGCCAATGCCACCTCTATTTCTGTGGCTGGTGCCAGGTCCTCAGCTAGAGCCATCTCTGTTTCTCTAGATGGTGACATGTCAGCAGCCTCCAGGCCTCTCATGGTTTCCAATGCTTCTGCTGGTGCCCTCTCTTCTGCTGATGTCATTTCTACCTCTTCAGCTGGCTCTATGGGAAGTTGGAAATTTAGGACTCATCACTGTGTGCTCATAGCTCTGCATTCAAAACTTACTTTCTGAGAACACAGGAGTATCTAGATTTTGTGACCATAACACCCTAAACATAATACCCTACTCTTTCATAGTCCCGGTACTGAGAAGAACAGGATACCGAGAGAGTACATAGTAGAGAAGGAAAAGAAAAAACACAGGTTTAAAAACAGCAGCGGCCCAGGCACACAGCTATTTTAAGAATGGGAACCTGTGGCACATCTAGAAAAAACCTCTAAGGCATAAGTCTGCACTGAATTAAAAAAAGATTTTCTGTGCCCACGAACTCCAAGTGTTGTATTTCACCCACACCTTCATTCCTTCAGCTGTGAAATCAGTAATTAAAGGAATAAAAGCATTTGTGATAGTTCTAAAATGTTTATCTATATTGCTGTACACTGCTAAAAATGAAGTCTGGTGATTTAAATTATGATACTGTAACCATTAAGTGATAAAGAGGGGTTCTACCTGTGGGCTGCAGAGGCTGTGGCATGGCCATTGGGGAAATGAACGATTCTGAATGTGGAGAGTTTGGGGCTTCCATGGGCCACCCCTGAGGAACAACAGCTGCAGGAGAAAATGTGCCACAGGGAAACAGTCCTAATATTGAAACACAAACAGATTTTTGAAACTGGGTCAGTAATGAGGGAAAAAAGGCATTTGATATTGAAAATCAGCTTTGTATACTGCCATAATGACAAAGACCTAAGGACTAATGAAAAACAAAGCAAGAGAGTTTTAAAGTAAAAATTGTTGACGTTTTTCAGGTTTTGGTAAATTGTTACCTGGCTGTCATGCCATTGGTCAGCATTAACTAGGAACCTTCTACAGCATATTGCAAGGAGTCAAAGTACCAAAGATGAAGCTCTAGCACCAAAAATATCATAACTGGCACAACACAATGTACAGTAAGGAATTGTGACTCTTGATTTCCTCATCTGTAAAATGAGATGAATGCCTTCCTCTGCAACATTACACAACAGTTTTGTGAAAATGTCTATAAATTATTTAGAAAGAGACAAATGTAGAAGGATTATTATCATGCTAGCCTCTGTCAGACATAATAGGGGATTTAATATCACATGGTCCTTGCCATCAAGAGTATTACAATTTAGCTAGAGGGGCAAGACAAACATATATTAAATACTGTATAGGGGGCACTTGGGTGGCTTAGTTATTAGTTTGAGTGTCTGCCTTTGGCTTGGGTCATGATCCCAGGGTCCTGAAATCAAGCCCCGCACCAGACTCTACTTGATGGGGAGCCTGCTTCTCCCTCTGCCTCTCCCTTCTTGCACTCCTCCTGACTTGTGCTCATTCTCTCTTGCTCATTCTCTCTCAAATAAATAAATAATCTTGAAATGTCATCTTAAAAAAAAGTTTAAAAAAATACTGTATAGTATGGACTAAGTGCTCCAAGAGTTTAAGAACAACTATGAGGATTAGAACAGCCACAGAGGCTTCAGAGGAGAAGCAAGAGCAGGAAGAGAGGAGAGAGTAGTCCATTTCAAGGACGGAGGACACTGAGCAAAGTATGAAAATGCCAGTAGGACAAGAATGTTTCTGCAACTACCAAATCAGTTGGATTCAAATAGATCTTGCATACCAGAGAGGGAAAACAGGATTAGAGTGAACAATGGAAGAAGGATCTGGAAAGCCAGAGAAATTTAGACTTGAAGGGCAAAAAAATAGTCTTTTAAAAAAATGAGATGATAAATATAGAACAGGGACCCAGTGACCAATGTAAACAGGTATGTCTGGAATGAATTTAAAAGGGAGCAGGAAGTCTGTTAGGAGATTCCTGAGGTGGCCTAGGTATGAAGTGACAGGGGCTTCTACAGAGGAAGGCAGAGGGAGCATAAAGGAAGAGAACAAGATGCTGTAAAGAAGTTAATGGGACTAAATGACTTGCTAGCTGGCAAGCTGAAAAAAACAGGAGTGAAAGCCACAATCAAAACATCAGGCGACTACATGGATAGCATCAACATTAACTTATATGACATCTTTCCCCCTAGAGATCCTCAGTTCAAAGAGAAGCATAATTACAACATATTATTAGGCATGAGCTTTACAAATACAAAATTATAAGCATTATTGGAAGTGGGACTTATTGGCAATAGGTACTGAAGGAAACCAGAATGTCACTACAAAATATGCCTCTTTGACATAAAAATTATTTTGAACTGAAAGCAATTAGGGAGCAATAAACCTAGAAAGCTCCCCACTTTCTGCCTCAGGGCAGGATATAAATTCTCTTCTTCTGGGAGACAGACTGTCAGCCCAGAGAGAGCACCAGAGGAACCTGCAAACAAACTTTACTCCACTGGTTCCCTCTCACGCATTTTTTACCCACAGTTTGCCACTCATGGAAGCCTAAAAACTGCATTCCTTTGTCTTGTCATTTCTTTTCTTTTTTAAAAGATTTTATTTATCTATTCATGAGACACACACACACACACACACACACACACACACACACACACACAGAGAGAGAGAGAGGCAGAGACACAGCCAGAGGGAGAAGCAGGCTCCATGAAGGGAGCCTGACATGGGACTTGATCCCCGATCTCCAGGATCATGCCCAGGGCCGAAGGCGGGGCTAAACCGCTGAGCCACTGGGGCTGCCCTTCTTCTTCTTTTTTTTTTTTTTAAGATTTTATTTATTCATTTGATAGCAAGAGAACACAAGTAGGAGGAGAAGAGGGAGAAGTAAGCTCCCTACTGAGCAAGAAGCCCAAAGCCAGGCTTGACCCCAGGACCCCAGGATCATGACCTGAGCTGAAGGCAGATGTCTAACCAGCTGAGCCACCCAAGCACCCCTTTCCTTTCACTTCTTTAGACATTTACTGTTCTTTGTTGAAAATGCTATATAAATTTAAATTCTAAGCTACCACTTTGAGTTACTTTTCTCCCGTATGATGGGTTCTGCATGTGTTAACAAACTGTCTCCTGCTAATCTTTTTGTTAGAGTCCCAGCTAAAAACCTAAGATGGTAAGAAGTGAAGTTTCACTTCCCTCATGGTATCCTGGCCACATTCATGTTAAAAGTTATACAAAACCAGGAATAAGGATACTACTAATTGAGAAATAAGACATGTTTAGTGTTTACTAAGTACCAGGTGTTATGAGAAGTGCTCTTATAAAATTCTATTTAATTGTCACCACATCTTTAAGGTAGGAACAAGCGCTGGCCCCATAGATAAAGAAATCACAGTTTAGAGAGGACATAACTTGCTTGAGGTAATGAGCTGGTATAATGTGGAGATAGAATCTGGCCCTATCCAGCCCCAGTGGCGCAGAGGTTTAGCACCGCCTGCAGCCCAGGGTGTGATCCTGGAGACCCAGGATCGAGTTCCACGTCAGGCTTCCTGCATGGAGCCTGCTTCTCCCTCTGCCTGTGTCTCTGCCTCTCTCTCTCTGTCTGAATTAAAAAAAAAAAAAAAAAAAAAAAAAAGAATCTGGCCCTATCGTATAGTATTCAAGATCCAATGAGAGGAGGTGAGCAGACCCTGAGCAGCTCAACTGAATTCTCTCCTGAGACCAATCTAGAAAGAGCCTTGTTACAGCTAGAGCCAAAAAATATGAGTGATTAAATTCAAAGGTGATGAGTAAAAGTCCACATTAACTGTTTGGAGTTAACCAATCAATCTAGTTGAAGAAATCATACCATAATTGTCTTGCAGGGGAGCATTTCGTTCTGTAAATGCTGCAGCATTGGTTGTTCCACTGGGGAGAAAGAGAAAATCCTCCAGGCCATCATCATGGTGCATCTTAAAAGGATCTGGAAAAAAGAAGGAATTTAAAACTCATTCAGTGAATATAGCTAAAAAGATTAGCATTCCTTACATTATGATGAATACTGATTGGCTACATTTGTGTCATCAATAGAAGTTAAATAAATTGAGATAATATGTGACTGAACATGGAAAAGAATATGTAATCTCATATTCTCTAAGATTTGATTATCTGAATCAGCCAACAAATAAAAAACCAAAAGCACAACTAATACTCAATTCTATACTATGTTAAGAGTTGAAAGTACATATATAATTAAACTTTCAATATATATTTAGACATTCATTTTAGGTTATATGGGGGAAGGGGAAGGCAGCCAGACAAGTAAAGACAATACCTCATGTGGACTTTATGAAGAAAACTACTTTTAAAGAACTGTCTGAATAAAACAAGGTGAACAGCTGGCATCTTAAGAAGAGAAATAAACTCTAGAATCAGAAGTTGCCGTTAAGTAAAGACACTCAAAACATCAGGGAAACTGCCTTCTTATACGAGAAAAGAGCAAAGCCGGTCACAAAGCCAGTCAGGCCAAGCAAAAATTTTGCTACTAAGGGACGCTTGCTATGATGAGCTCTGAGTGTTATAAGTAAGTGATGATTCACTGAATTCTATCCCTGAAACCAATATTACATTATATGTTAACCAACTAGAATTTAAATAAAAATTGTCCTGTGTGTTCATTGCTACTAGCACATCTACTTCCTGGAGCAGACAGATCAGCATGTATTCCAATGCAAGCAAAGGATAATCAGCCTTTAAACTGTGGATACTGTTTCCAAATTACTTTAAAATGGCTTCCTTTCTTTTTGATCTTTAGTCATGAAATGTTCATTAAGACATTTCTGCCCTGATGCAAAAATGAAATATTAAGAATGCAATGGTCAACAGAACTTTGAGAAATGTACTAAAAGATTTGTGATTTAATCTTTCTGATATTCTACACTGGAAAGGTTTGTGATCAGCATGGTTTTATTCTAGGTACCAGAAAGGGGGATAATAGCATGCTTTTTCTCATTGCCCTTAGTATAAAATATACCCTTAATATAAAATATGCCAATCCTACAATAAATTCTTTATCAGAGAAAAAAAAAAGAATTCAGCTTCTGGGGCAGGTGGCTTAGTCAGTTAAGGATCTGCCTTCAGTTCAGGCCATGATCCCAGGGCCCTAGGATGGAGCCCTGCATTGAGTGCTCTGCTCAGTGGGGTGTCTGCTTCTTCCTCTGCCCTTCTCCCTGCTTGTGCTCACTCTTTCTAATAAATAAGTAATATCTTTAAAAAAAAATCTGCTTCTAAGGAGGCCTTCTCAAAATTTGCACACATCTGAATTACCCTGCAGCCTTAAAGAAACACTGATTGCTAGGCCCTAAGAATCTGATTTCTAACTAGTTCCTTGGTAGATCCTAGTGACTCATTCCCTTCAGGGGCTTCATTTGTCAGAGGCAAGCTGTACCACCCTCTTCTAGTTAGGGTTGTCAAGATCAGGGGAGACCATGGTACTGGTAAGTATAAACAAGCAGAAGGCAAACTAAGAACTGTTGGGGATGGAGGAGACCCCAATGTTGCTTCTCCAGAACAGCAGGGGAGCTGGGAAGAGAGATTATAACCATTCATTCTCTCCAGTATCACTTGGTTTGGGGTGGTTGCTTGCTTGTTCTGCTTCTCACACTTCCACTGAAGGAAAACAGGAAGCCTAAACCATCAAGGAGAGTAATTGTATGGTGTGCATATTAGGATGGAAGATTTGCTAACTTGCATGTAAAAATGAATGGTTTCTAACCAAGTTCCGTCATTTACTTATTTTTTTACGGAGTGCCTCTAATATGGCAGAGCCAGTGTGCTCTAAAAACCCAGAGGAGGGATACTTGGGTGGCTCAGTGATTAAGCATCTGCCTTTGGCCCAAGGCATGATTCTGGAGCCCCAGGATCGAGTCCCACATCGGGTTCCCTGCATGGAGCCTGCTTCTCCCTCTGCCTATGTCTCTGCCTCTCTCTCTGTGTGTGTCTCTCATGAATAAATAAATACAATCTTTTAAAAAAAAAAAAAAGGGAAGGGATCCCTGGGTGGCTCAGCGGTTTAGCACCTGCCTTTGGCCCAGGGCGGGATCCTGGAGTCCTGGGATTGAGTTCCTCATCGGGCTCCTTGCACGGAGCCTGCTTCTCCCTCTGCCTGTCTTGCCTCTCTATCTGCGTCTATCATGAATAAATAAATAAAATCTTAAAAAAAAAAAAGGGGGGGATCCCTGGGTGGCGCAGCGGTTTAGCGCCTGCCTTTGGCCCAGGGCACGATCCTGGAGACCCGGGATCGAATCCCACGTCAGGCTCCCGGTGCATGGAGCCTGCTTCTCCCTCTGCCTGTGTCTCTGCCTCTCTCTCTCTCACTGTGTGCCTATCATAAATAAATAAAAATTAAAAAAAAAAAAAACAGAGGAGATGCAGAAGGTCAGGGCTGAGAACATTTAGCAGAACAATATTTTCGTTCAAGAAGATCTTCACCTGATAAATACTTAAGCTGAAAACTAAAGAAATGAGTGGTTACAGGGAGAAGACCTTTTCTCCATCTATATTCACTCCCTCATAGTGATCTCATTTAATCCTACAGTTTAAAATCCTGTAACTTAGTAACACTCAAATTTGTACCTCCAGACATCTAGAACTCACCCCTTATATCCTGACTTTCTTTTTTAAAAGATTTTATTTATGTATTCATGAGAGAGGCAGAGACATATGCAGAGTGAGAAGCAGACTCCCTGAGGGGAGCCCAATGCGGGGACTTGATCCCAGAACCCTGGGACCATGACCTGAGCCAAAGGCAGATGCTCAACCACTGAGCCACCCCGGTGCCCCTCTTGGCTTTCCTAATAAATTGCCAATCCTTTTTTTTTTTTTTTAAGATTTTATTAATTTATTTTGACAGAGAGAGAGAGTGAGTGAGAGAGCACAAGCAGGGGGGAGCAGCAGAGGGATAAGTAGGCTCCTTGCTGAGCAGGGAGCCTGACACGGGGCTCAATCCCAGGACCCCAAGAACATGAACTGAGCTGAAGGTATACACTTAACCAACTGAGCCACCCAGGCACCCCTAAATTACCAATTCTTAATATATAAAATAAAGTCAAAATGTAACATGCTTCCCAAATGACCATTCATACAACCTTCCCATCTCTAATGGCATTCTATCTTTTTGGTCAAATCATGAGGAATCCACTAAAAAACTACTAAAACTAATTAGTTCAGCAAGGTTGGAAGATACAAGATCAATATACAAAAGTCAATTGTATACCCATTACCTTCCAATGAACAATCTAAAAATGAAATTAAGAAAACCATTCCAAAAAAAGAAAACCATTCCATTCATAGCATCAAAAAAACAAAATATTAGGAATAAGTTTTACAAAACAGAGTATAAAATTTATACTCTGAAAACTTCAAAAATATTGTTGAAAGAAGGTATACATAAATGTAAAACATTCTATGTTTATGAACTGAAAGACTTAATATTGTTAAGATGGCAAAACTCCTCAATTTGACCTATAGATTCAATGCAATTCCCAGCAGAATCCCAGCTGATTTCTTTACAGAAACTGACAACCTAGGCACCTGGGTGGCTCAGTTAGTTAAGCATCTGCCTTTACTCAGGTCATGATCCCGGGATCCTGGGATGGAGCCCCACATTGGGCTCCCTGCTCAGTGAGAAGTCTGCTTCTCTCTCTCCCTTTGCACCCCTCCCCCCTGTGTGCTCTCTCACACATTCTCTCTCTCTCAAATAAAATAAATCTCTTAAAAAATTTGACAAGCTGATTATAAAATTCATGTGGAATTGCAAAGGACCCAGAATAGCCAAAACAATCATTTAAAAAAAAAAAATCCCTGGATTGCTCAATAGTTTGGCCCCTGCCTTCGGCTCAGGGGTGTGATCCTGGAGCCCCGGGATCAAGACCCATAACGGGCTCCCTGCATGGAGCCTGCTTCTCCCTCTGCCTGTGTCTCTGCCTCTCTCTCTCTCTGTGTCTCTCATGAATAAATTAATAAAATATTTATTTATTTATTTATTTTTTATAAAATATTTTTTTTAAAAAGTAGGAAGATTCACACTTCTCCACTGCAACACTTACACAAAGCTACAGTAATCATGATAGAATAGTACTGGTATAAGGACAGACATACACATCAGTGCAATAGAACTAAGAGTTGATAAAACTATAGATCTATGGTGAACAGATTTCAGCAAGGATGCCAAGACTAGGAAATGGGGAAAGAATGATCTTTTCAAAAAATGGAGCTGGGACAACTGGATATCCACATGCAAAAGAATGAATCTGGACTTCTCTACCTCTCACCATATACGAAAATCAACTTAAAATGGATCAAAGACCTTAATACAAGAGCTAAAATTATAAAATTTTTAGAACAAAACATAAGGATAGATGTTCATGACCTCAGATTTGGCAGTGAATTCTTAGCTATGACACAAAAGCATGAACGACAAAATAAAAACTAGATAATTGGGCCTCATCAAAATAAAACACTTTTATGCATCAAAGGGCACTATCAAGAAAATTAAGAAAATTAGAAGACAACCCCCATAACATGGGAAAAAAATATTTGCAAATCATAAATCTAATAAGGGTCTAGTATATAAAGAACTCTTATAGGACAACAACAACAACAAAGACACACCAATTAAAAATGGTAAAAAGGGGGGCAGCCCCAGTGGCCCAGCGGTTTAGCGCCACCTTCGGCCCAGGGTGTGATTCTGGAGATCCGGAATCGAGTCCAACATCAGGCACCCTGCATGGAACCTGCTTCTCCCTCTGCCTGTGCTTCTGCCTCTCTCTCTCTGTGTCTGTCATGAATAAATAAATAAAATCTTAAAAAAAGAAAATGGGACAAAAGGAACGTCTGGGTGGCTCAGTGGTTGAGTGCCTGCCTTTGGCTCAGGTCATGATCCCGGGGTCCTGGGTTCAAGTGCTGATTGGGTTCCCTCAGTGAGCCTGTTTCCCTCTGCCTGTTTCTCTGCCTCTCTCTCTCTCTCTCTCTCTGTCTCTCATGAATAAATAACATCTTAAAAAAAAATAGGACATGGTATCTGAATACACATTTCTCTAATGAAGATATACAAATAGCCAGTAAACACATGAAAAGATAAAAAGATGATCATCATTAGCTAAGAGGTAAATGCAAATAAAAATCACAACAGGATACCATTTCAATAGCAACTAGGCTAGATATAATTTTTCAGAAGGTAAAACAAGCATTTTTAAAGATGTGGAGGAATTACAAACCTAACCCACTATTGGTAAGAATATAAAATGGATGCTTTGGAAAATAGTTGGGCAAGTCCTCAAATGATTAAATAGTTACCAAATAATCAGCAATACCAACCCAGGTATAAACAAACCCAAGGTAAATGAAAATGTATGTTTGCACAAAAACCTGTACATGAATGATTAAAACAGCAGCACTAACAACAGTAAAACAAAACAAAACAAAACAAAAACGAAAAAAACCGGGGATCCCTGGGTGGCGCAGTGGTTTGGCGCCTGCCTTTGGCCCAGGGCGCGATCCTGGAGACCCGGGATCAAATCCCACGTCGGGCTCCCGGTGCATGGAGCCTGCTTATCCCTCTGCCTGTGTCTCTGCCTCTCTCTCTCTCTGTGTGTGTGTGACTATCATAAATTAAAAAAAAAAAAAAAAAACCCGCAAACAACCTATACATTTACCAACTGATGAAAAGATAAACAAAATGTGGTATATCTATGCAATAGGTCCCTCTGAAAGAATGAAGTACTGACCCATGACACAAAATGCACAATTCTTGAAAGCTTGCTAAGTGAAAAAGCCAGTCACAAAAGAGCACATACGATTCCATCTTATAAAATGTGCAGAACAGATAAATTTAGAGAGAGAGTCAATTAGTGGCTGCTTAGTGCTGGGTTGAATAAAGAGACAGGGAGTGATATCTAAAGAATACAGAGTTTGTTTTTGAGGTAATAAAAATATATATTTTTTGAGGTAATAAAAATATTATGAAGTTGATTCTGGTGATAGCTTTATATATATGTGAATACACTAAAAATCCACTGAATTGTACACTTTGAATAGGTGAATTGTATGTTATACGAATTATGTCTCAATAAAGCTGTTTTTAAAAATTATCATATATCTAAGACAGTCAACAATTAGAAAATGGTATAGAACATCAAGTACTAGTTCATTTGGAATCAGCTATAAGCACCTTATAAGTTAGATGGCAGAAAGGAAGTCATATATAAATACAAAATACAAACAAAAAAAAAAAGACTGAGCTCTCAACCTGGCATGGGGCCATTGATGCTACCACTTTGAGGTCCTTCTACAATCCATTCCTAGCTCTAGGCAACTACACATATGCTTTTGGTCTCTATAGATTAGTTTGATTTTATAGAAATTGGGTATGAGTCTTAGTTCCTTCTGTCAAATGAGGATGATAAATACTTGCAGACTTAGGTAAGAAACACAGAAAATATGTGTAGGAAGGTGCTAGCACTGTGCCTGGCACACAAAACAGACATTCAACAAATGGTGCTATAATTACTATAAAAATTCCTTTTGGAAGAATTAAGATTCTAAGGTACTACTGACAATTTAGTCTTCAATGAATATCAGTTTCAGTTAAATTACTAAAACAGTCCTTGAAAGGGAGAGATTTAGAGGGGCATGGGCCTCAGAAGAAGGAATTGAGAAGAGAAAGGGTCAACTAAATATTCAGGGTAAATGATTACACCTTGGTTGTGCTTTACAAGCTATATTTAAGCTAAAAAGTTTTATCTACATGGTGGCTGCAAATTTTTCATGCTTATGTCATTGCTTACACTAAGCAGTCACAGGCAAGTCTGCACTTACCAGTCTGGGTAGGATTCACCAACTGTTCTGGCTCAAAGCAAAAGTTTGTATTTTCTGGCCAGCTCTGGATGTTCTGATATCCCTCGTAGGGCATTTTCTCTTCAAGGAATTGAGTTGGCGAGCCTTTAAATACAAAACACGGAAAAAAAAGTTAAAAGGTACTTTTGTCTTCTTCTCCATTAGAGTTGAGTTTCTACAAGTATCACAATTAGTATAATTATGACAAAATCATACCTACCTAGCGCCTTTCAAGAAATCTTTTTTAAAATTTTACAACAGAAAAACATAATCAAAATACTGGAAGTAAAAAAAAAAATACTGGAAGTATAAGTTGTTATTAGGTTAAAAATACTGCAAAATAGGGATCCCTGGGTGGCGCAGCGGTTTGGCGCCTGCCTTTGGCCCAGGGCGCGATCCTGGAGACCCGGGATCGAATCCCACATCAGGCTCCCGGTGCATGGAGCCTGCTTCTCCCTCTGCCTGTGTCTCTGCCTCTCTCTCTCTCTCTCTCTCTGTGACTATCATAAAAAAAAAAATTAAAAAAAAAATACTGCAAAATATCTTCTGGTTATGATATGTGAAAAGGTTAGTGATTTTTATCTACAAAAGAACAAGTATAAAATTTGACAACTGGGGATCCCTGGGTGGCGCAGCGGTTTGGCGCCTGCCTTTGGCCCGGGGCACGATCCTGGAGCCCCGGGATCGAATCCCACATCGGGCTCCCGGTGCATGGAGCCTGCTTCTCCCTCTGCCTGTGTCTCTGCCTCTCTCTCTCTCTCTCTCTCTGTGACTATCATAAGTAAATTAAAAAAAAAAAAATTTGACAACTGTCAGCAACAATCATTTCAAGTCACCAAAACCCAAAAAAATGTCAGATCTAAATAAATGGAGAGAAATACTATGCTATGTTCATTATAGAAGACTCGGTATTGTTAAGATGGCGATTCTCAAACTGACCAATAGATTCAAGGCAACTACAATTAAAAATTCCAGTAGAATTTTTTGAAGGTGTCAACAAACTCATTCCATAATTTATAAGGAAATGCAAAAAAAAAAAAAAACAAAACAAAACAAAAAAAAAACACAGAATAGCCAAAACAATTTTGAAGAACAACACACTGGAGGACATTATCTGATTTTACAAGTTATTACAAATGAGTGTGGTATGGCCCACACATTAGATAAATGGAGCAGAATAGAGTTCAGAAAGAAAACTACGTAAGTTGTGGACAACTGGTTTTTAACAGAAGTCCCAAGGGGAAAGGATCATTTTTTTCTAACCAATGACACAGAAACAACTGGTCACTTACCTTACACCATACGCAAAATCTAACTCCAGATAGATTCAAAACCTAAATGTAAATAGGTGAAACTAAAGGAATTTGTAGAAGAAAACAGAGGAGAAAACTATCTCTGTGACCCTGAATTAGGCAGAGATTTCTTAGACATGTCATCAAAAGCAAGATCCATAAAGGAAAAATACTGATGAACTGGACACCATTGAAATGTAATAAAACTTTTTCTTTTCTTTTTAAAAAGATTTTATTTATTTATTCATGAGAGACACAAAGAGAGAGGCAGAGACACAGGCAGAGGGAAAAGCAGGCTCCATTGCAGGGAGCCCCATGTGGGACTTGATCCCAGGACTCCAGGATCACGCCCTGGGCCGAAGTCAGGCACTCAACCGCTGAGCCACCCCGGGGATCCAAAGCTTTTGCTTTTCAAAAATACTATTAAGAGAATGAAAAGAGAAGCCAGAGACTGAGAAAATATTTGCAAATGATAAATCTAATAAAGGACTTATATAGAGAAGAGATCAAAATCTCTTAGAGCATATTTTTTTTTAGTTGTTTTTTAAAGATTTATTTATTTATTTATTTATTCATGAGAAACACACACACACACACACACACACACACACAGAGGCAGAGACACAGGCAGAGGGAGAAGCAGGCTCCATGCAAGGAGCCTGATGTGGGACTCGATCCCGGGGCTCCAGGATCACACTCTGGGCTGCAGGCGGCGCTAAACCGCTGCACCACCGGGGCTGCCCTCTTAGAGCATAATTATAATCTACCTTAGATCAATTTTATAGGAAACAAATTCATTAATCACATTAAAAACAATATTTATAAGCAACTAGATAGATACTGGCACATACTGTGTATTCAAAACTGTGTTTAAGCATTTAATATGGGGAAAATAGCCACTTCAGTCTTTTTATGCAGTCTTGTTTATACTTGCAAAGAACAATATGTAAAGTTCTTATTTTATTTCCCTCACATTTTCTTTGTTCTGATCATATTTATTAAAATGTTATTGTCGGGCAGCCCTGATGGCCCAGCGGTTTGGCGCCACCTTCGGCCTGGGGTGTGATCCTGGAGATCCGGAATGGAGTCCCACATCAGGCTCCCTGCATGGAGCCTGCTTCTCCCTCTGCCTGTGTCACTCTGCCTCTCTCTCTTTCTCTGTGTCTGTCATGGATAAATAAATAAATTCTTTAAACAAACAAATAAATAAAATGTTATTGTCTGTTCAGTCTAATAATAAAAAATTAAGACTTGGAAAAAATCTCTTACAACACAACTGTAGGACAAGCAACTCAATTTTAAAGGAGCAAAAATTTTCAATAGCCATTGTCATCAAAGAAAATACACAAGTGGGTAATATGCACATGAAAAGCAGCTCATCATCATTGGTCGTTAAGGAAATGCAAACTGAAATCACTATCAGATGCTATTACACTACTGAACCACTAAATCAAAAAGACTGACAATACCAGGAGTTAGTGAGGACAAAGAGAAAAAGGAAACTTCTTTCATTCCTGGAGGGAAAGTTAAATGGCACTACTTTAGAAATTAGTTTGATGGCTTTCTTTTCTTTTTTTTTTTGTGAACAGCTTGAGATATAAATTATCCTTTTAAAGTGTAGAATCCCGTGGGTTTCAGTATGTTCACGGAGTTATACAACTACCACCACTAACTTCAGAATATTTTTATTACTCCAAAATCCTCTATATAAGTTTCTGTGTGGTCATATGTTTCTAATTCTACTGAGTATATGCCTAGCAGAATTTCTAGGTCATACATCAACTCTTATGTTTAACATTTTGAGAAACTGCCAGACTGTTTTTGCAAAGCGCTTGCACCATTTTACAATCTCTCCACATCTTCGCCAACACTGTTGATCTTTTTTTATTTTAGCTATACCAGATGTGGGTGTGAAGTGTATCCCACTGTGCATTTCCCTAATGACTAGTGATGTTATGCATATTTTCATTGCTTATCAGTCATTTGCATTTTTTTAAAAAAGAAATGTCTATTTAAGGGGCACGCGGGTAGTACAGTTTAGTTAAGCATCCAACTTTTGGTATGGCGTAGGTTGTGATCTCAGGGTCATAAGATCCAACCCTGTGGTAGGCTCCTCATTAGCATGGAGTCTGCTTGGGATCCTCTCCCTCTCCCTCTGCCTTTCTTGTTCATGCTCTCTCTCTCTCTAAAATAAACAAACCGGGACACCTGGGTGGCTCAGCGGTTGAGCACCTGCTTTTGGCTCAGGGCATGATCCTGTGATTCCAGGATCGAGTCCCACACATCAGGCTCCCTGCATGGAGCCTGCTTCTTCCTCTGCCTACATCTCTGCCTCTCTCTCTGTCTCTCATGAATAAATAAATAAAATCTTTAAAATAAATAATAAATCTAAAAAATATATATCTATTGAAATCATTTAACTATTTTTTAATTGAGCTAATTTCTGTTATTATTGAGATGTAAGATTCATTCTTTTTTTTTTTTTAGTAATATTTTAGTTTTTTATTTGAGAGAGAGATTGAGCATGAACCAAGGATAGAGGCAGAGAGAGAAGCAGGCTCCCTGCTGAGCAGGGAGCTCGATGTGGGACTCGATTCCAGAACCATGAGATCATGACCTGAGCCAAAGGCAGATGCTCAACCAACTGAGCCACCTAGGTGCACCTCACTTTCTTTTTTTATTTCAAGCATAGTTAACATACAGTTATTAGTTTCAGGGGTATAAGGATTCAACAGTTCCATAATTACTCAGTGCTCATCATAGTAAGTGTACTCTTAATTGCCTTCACCTATTTCACCCCTCCCCTCAACCCACCTTTCCTCTAGCAAACGTCAGTCTGTTCTCTTATTTAAGGATTTTTTTTTAAGATTTATTTATTTATTCATTCATTCAGAGAGAGAGAGAGAGAGAGAGAGAGAGAGAGGTAGAGACACAGGCAGAGGGAGAAGCGGGCTCCATGCAGGGAGCCCAACGGAGGACTCAATCCTAGGTCTCCAGGATCACGCCCTGGGCTGAAGGCAGCGCTAAACCGCTGTGCCACCGGGGCTGCCCAAGGATGTATTTCTTTTTATCTTTGTTCATTTGTTTTGTTTCCTAAATTCCACATGTAAGTGAAATCATATCATAGTTGTCTTTCTCTGACTGATTTATTGGATTTAGCATTATACCCTCTAGATTCATCCAAGATTCATTTTCTTGATGTCCTTGGGGCACAAATAATTTTTAATTTTGATAAAGTCCAATTTTTTTAAATATCATCTCTGCAAAAAAACAAAAACAGAACAAAAAAATAAAATAAAGTCATCTCTGCACACAACATGGGGCTCAAACTTACAACTCTAAGATCAAAAGTCAAATGTTCCTCTAAGTGAGCCAGCCAGGCACTCCAATAAAGTCCAATTTATCTGATTTTCTTTTGCCACTATGTCTGGAGTTCTAAGAAACCACTGGCTAATCCAAGGTCATCACTGATCTATGCCTATGTTTTCTTCTAGGAGGTCTGCTTTACCCCTTATATTTAGGTCTATGATCCATATTATTTTTTTATGTGGTATTAGGTAGGGGTCCCAACTTCATGCTTTTGCATAGAGATACCCAGTTTTCCCAGCCCCATTTGTTGAAAAGACTATTATGGTCCTCTTATTGGTAGGAAATACCCTGCAAGATTACTCCCCATCCCTGCCACTGGACACGTGAAACTACAAATAGTACTGAACCCTATATATGCTGTTTTCCCCCCTTTTCATATGTACCTATAATAAAGTTTAATTTATAAATTAGGCACAGCAAGAGATTAACAACAATAATTAGCAA